TTTTTTTTTTTTTTTTGCAAACCATTAAACTGTTTTGCAGTATATCAGTTCCTGGCCAACATTAGATATTTTTCATTTTTATTAATCGGTATCAGTAGATATTAGATATTTAAAGAAATATTTAATGAAATGAATAGTTTTATTCAGCAAGGTTGCATTAAATTGATAAACAGTGACAGTAAAGCCATTTATAATGTTGCAAACGTTTTCTATTTAAAATAAATGTAGTAAATGCTGTTCTTTTCAACTTTTCTATTCATAAAAACATCTGGAAAAACATTTTTTAAATATCTTTTTTATTCTATTTTAATATATAAAATAAAAAGGGTTACAAAACTGTAATATATAAAATAAAAAGTTACAAAAAAGTTTTTTTTTTTTTACAAACAAATGCAGCCTTGGTGAACAACATGAGCGAATTATTTCCAAAAACCTTAAAATCACAAAACTTTTGTGTTTTGTGTGTGCATATATTTGTATATGTGGCTTGTCAGCATATCAGCCAGGATTTTAATATCTGTGCATCCCTACATTTAGTGCATAGCAAGTGTTTGTGTAATTGTATTTCAATGTTATATTAACTTTCTATTGCAGCCTAATATAATCAGTTGAAGGTTCATTTCTGAAGAGTAAACAGTTTTTAAAAATGTATGATGTTTTAATATTATACATTTTAATAGGGCTGGTTGTGTACCATCCATGTAGAAAACAGGTGTTGGCTTGTATGTATTGCTGTGTGTGTGTGCGTGTGTGTGTGTGTGTGTATTGGTGTTGACCTGCTGTGTGAAGGGGGTTTAGGGCCAGACAGTCCAATCTGACTAATACTGGATCAGGCTTCACTAGGACAAACTCTCTCTCTCTGCCTGCGCTCTCAACCTACTGCACCAGTCACATTCATATTCCCTTAATACTGTATCAGTGGGTTATATAATCCCATACACGCACAAAAAACACCCTCCACCTCTGCGCATAACTCTATCTTCGTGCACGCTCACTGCTTCTTCAGCACTCAGAAACGGGTTTTGTTCTACTGTATACTGCAATCCTCTGTGACTCTGCAGGACTCCTGCTAATTAGGAGCCAAAATGCCCGTGTTGTCACAGTTTCTTTGGCAGAGCATAGGTGAGGGAGGGACTGAGGAGGAAACTGACTGATGACAGTGTGTCAGAGCCGTCACATGCTCGAGGCTTTGACAGATGGGGTTGGGTGTGTGAATTGCTTTGCTTTGTGGACAGTTTGTTTCGTAAAATTGGATGAGCACATATGTTAAACATTCTGTCACAAAGCAGTTCCTCTCTTACACGGCCAGCCTCTCTCTTACTCACATTTCTTGAATGTGGACGGACATACCTGCTCCTCTTCAAGGGTTTAAATCAGGGGTGCCCAAACTCGGTCCTGGAGGGCCGGTGTCCTGCAGAGTTTAGCTCCAGCTTGCCTCAACACACCTGCCTGGAAGTTTCTAGTGTGCCTAGTAAGACCTTGATTAGCTGCTTCAGGTGTGTTTGATTAGGGTTGGAGCTAAACTCTGCAGGACACCGGCCCTCCAGGACTGAGTTTGGGCACCCCTGGTTTAAATGTCTAAACAGTTTGTTCCCATTAGTCTAGTTTGATGTCCTGTGGTCAGCTGACTAAAGGCCCGTTCACACCAAGGACGATAACTGTAAAGATAACGATAAAGATATAGTTCTAAAAATCTTTCTCAATATTAAAGAATAGCAGAGTCCACACCACAACTATAATGACAAAGGCACAGAGAAACGATATCGTTGGAATCACTTTCAGAAGCATTTTTTTCCAGCTGATGAACGATAAAAATATTGACAGCCAATCAGGACATTTACATTATATTTAAATGTTATTTAGCAGATGCTTTTATCCAAATCGACTAACAAATGAGGACAATAGAAGCAATCAAAACCAACAAAAGAGCAATAATTTACAAGTGCTATATTAGTATATTATTATAGTGTTATATTTCAATTTCACAAAGAAATGTGCAGTATTTTGTCCAAGCAATAATAAAAGGACACATTTAATTTATAATTTGTCTTAAATCTCATTTTGTTAAAAAAAAAATCGTGAATCGAATCGAATCGTGAGTTGAGTGAATCGTTACATCCCTAATCGTTATCTTTATAGTTATCGTTCTTGGTGTGAACGGGCCTTGACACAAAAAGTGGGTCAAACCATTTGCCTGTGTGACTGCCACATCCCTTATTTTCATCCCACCCCGTATGACTTCAAACTGTTGCTCTCTTTTTAAAAGGTGCACTCAGTTATTTCTGTATGTTCGCGTTGGAGTTATTTTGACTCCTAAGGTGTGTTCCATTAGACCGCAAGTTCGCTGCAAAGTGGACTTCACATCTTTAGTGAGATTCCAATCTGAAGGGAGTGAACATGTTCAGTTCGAAGAGCACTGCAAACGGATGAAGGAATAAGGGAACATTGATTCATCACTTCACAGGAAGTGGAGAGGGAAATGTACCCACCACATCACATCACTCCAGCACTTGAAGTTTAAATAAAGCCGGTGAAAAGGAGTCAAGGCTCTGGCATTACTATCGATTCATACATCATAATTACGGTTAAATAAGAGATTAAATATAACCAAATATGTTAAACATCGCGCTTACTTTCAAATATGACATTAAATTAATAAATGCATATTTATATAAATACGCATAAATGCATTATATGGATATGTATTTTACACAAACCTATGGTCATTTATAGTCATCTTAACTTAAACTCCTCTAAAATGCACTGTTGGCTCGGAGCCAAGATTTAATAAATCCACAAGTGAACATAATTGGAGGAAAAAAATGGTATTTGACTTGCCATGTGATCTCAAAATTTCAATTCCATTTAAAATCAAAGAGCTTTTATTTGGCTGTGTCATGTGATGTGTGTAGAGCATAAATGCATTATATGGATATGTATTTTACACAAACCTATGGTCATTTATAGTCATCTTAACTCAAACTCCTCTAAAATGTAAGACTCAAGTATAAATGCACTGTTGGCTCGGAGCCAAGATTTAATAAATCCACAAGTGAACATAATTGGAGGAAAAAAATGGTATTTGACTTGCCATGTGATCTCAAAATTTCAATTCCATTTAAAATCAAAGAGCTTTTATTTGGCTGTGTCATGTGATGTGTGTAGATTAATGTTTTTTTTTTTTTTTTTTTTTTGGAAAATTGAGGAGAATACTTGAGTGTTGCAGCATTTAGCTTAGCAACATCCACTATGTTAATTAATTGTGAGTTGAGTCTCCTGTACAGGTTTTGGAATATGTTTATGACCTCTTGTTCTTTTATCTGCAAGTAGTTATTTGTTGTTATACATAAACATGAAGTAGAGACTTTACAGCAAATGTGTATTCTCAAGCTTAGACATCAGTTCATTGTGGTGATTCATGTGCGCATTGAAGTGCAGATGATGCAAAGAGTAATGTATCATATTCCGTGCAGACTTTGAAGCGGAAAGAAAAGGAGTACGAGCATGAGATGGAGCGCTTGGCACGGGAGAAGATCGCCACCCAGCAAAGACTCTCCAAGCTGAAGAACGAGTTGAGCCAGTGTATAGACATCATGGAGATCGACAGGATACTCCGACAAACTGTCCAACCGGAAGATGATCAGGCCTCCACATCAACAGCATCAGGTACAGCACATATTTGTGAATATAAAATCAGATAAGCGGTATATATATATATATATATATATATATATGTTTTTGGTAAGAAATGAATCCTTGTTTACTTAAAAATCCTGACAAAAATATTAAGCAGCACAACTGTTCAGCTATTCATACGAAGAAATGTTTCTTAAGCAGCAAATCAGCATCATGTGACAACTGAAGACTTAAGTAATTGCTGCTGAATATGTAGCTTTTCCATGACAGAAATAAATAGCATTTCAAAATATATTAAAAAGGAAAACCATTATGTTAAATTCTAATTATATTTCACAATCATTTTATGTAAATAGAATGTTTATTTTAATAACTTTATTTTTTACAAATTGTTAGTTAAGAGGGGAAGTCGTGGCCTAATGGTTAGAGAGTCGGACTCGTAACCCAAAGGTTGCGGGTTCGAGTCAAGTCCGGCAGGGATTGTAGGTTTTTTTGCACCAGACCTGATTTTATTATGATTTTTTCCCCCTTGAGGTCCCCCATGTTGAGGTTTCTTAAACAATTAAATAGGCAATTTTTCCTTCTAAAACTTACAGTATGATTTCATATTACATCAAACATCAATTTTTTCTCCCTGATATGATTAATTGTAATGTGTATGAGGGGTAAGAAACAACATAAAATCTAATTACCATGAATCATTTCTGCTCTTTCCAGAGGGTGAAGACAACTTCGACCAAGACGTAGATGATGACATCCTCTCCTCCCCACCCTCGTCTTCTGTGGGCAAACCGTTTGCACCGGCACCATCAGAGCCCCGCGCTGCCATGCCTCCACCCTCCATTCTCGCTACACATATCTCCATACAACACAAACCCACCACACCACCCTCCGCTCCACCCAATCAACTCCAGCCCACAGTGGTCACCCCTCAAGCCATCGCCCCTGCGCCCCCTTCCCACCTCGTTTCCCCTCCTCAGCCAACAGTCATCACCCACGCCTCCGTATCCCATGCGTCCGTCATCCAAGCTGTCAACCACATCATCCCAGCTGGGCGTAAACATCTGGCGCACATTGCGCCCTCTAGTGGCGGCCAGCCTATCGGACACATCACCGTGCATCCCGTGGCCCACCTCCCCGCGGCCATTTACCCGCAGTCAGTAGCCGTCTCGCAGCCGGCGATGGTGGGGCACATCACACACACATTGGCGCACCACCCACACTCTCACGCCCAAGTTAACGGCACGCCAGTTACAGGCCAGCAGGCCACCATGGTGGGAAAGCCAACGGCCGTGGTCGCTCACCATCACACCGGGCTGGTGGGCCAGACGGTGCTCAATCCGGTGACTATGGTAACTGTTCCTCCTTTTCCCGTCAGCACGCTAAAGCTGGCCTGAGAGAAAAGAGAGGACTTCCATGAAAGGAGGTCTCACAAAGTGAGAGCAAGAGAGACTAAAGATGAAGAGCTAATTTCAAAAAAGGACGACTAGTTCTCGTTCAGAAATTCACTACTGTCGCTCCTACACACCGGGGACCTCATCAGGATCGGAGCGCATCCTCTTTTGCTTGTAGAAGGGGCTTGCGTGTCTTTTAGCGTGTCTAGCGCTGGAAAGAAATTCATGTAATGCACTTGCTTAACTAGATTCGAAGACATTGGTCAGTCTTTAGTAATGTGAGAGTGGAGTGCTAAAACAAATCAATTCTTTCTTCCCTTTCCCTCGTATCCTTTTTTCTGTATGCAAATTATCTCACGCTTTACATTAATTCACCAAAAAAATCTCCACTAATCAAAAATGAGTGCTTAAAGCTCAGTACTTTAAGGCATGCAGGAAAAAAACGTTTACTGTGTGACTATTTTAGGGGCATTTAAAACTCGTCAAACGGGGCTTTTGACTAAAAAAAAACAGGTACATTCAGACTTCAGACAGATCAGGTTACTCAAAGTGTCTCTGTACTTGCTAGGAAATGTAAGTGCCTAAGCCCCAATTCAAGCCCAGTGGCGCCACCTGCTGCCTACGCAATTTTTGCTGAATATGAAGCGCAAGCGTATTAGAGTGCCATGTCTTGACCTGCAGTCACAGGCATCTGTTGGCAATAAAGAAACTCAAAGTCTTAAAAGTGTCGAGGTGAATGGGTTGTAAGGAAACTCGACTAATGTACAATTCAACATCTGAGAAAGACATGAATTTGAAAGTACATTAAAGCATTCATAACTTACAGCAAGTGCGCAGATATTTAACCTAACAATACTTCGTAATACTTGATTAACGTTTCAAATTATTAAAAACGTTACGTACGGCGTGTGTCAGGGCGCTGCGGTGTCGGGCATTTCCGTTTCTTCAAAACAGCAGTTACCAATGTTCTCGTGCTTGTAGCAACACGATGAAGAACGTCGAATGAGGTCTTAGAAAATACGTTAACGTTAATCTATCTTTTTCGTCACGCGCACGTTCATAGATGGTGTCTAAGCGCGCGCCCTTCCAATGTAGCTCGGTGCTGTTGTGTCCATTTTTCCTTATTATGTGTGATTGTGTAAATTGTCGTGAGGTAGGCACTTGTTTATAAGTATTTTAGGAGGTTAAAACAGGCTGTTTTGTTGACATCAGACAAAAAGCCCCTTTGCCAATAGCAGTGCTTCTTTTAAAGTCGGCCTGTCATTCTCAATACACTCGCTTGATTGAACCTGCACAAAGTTAGCCATCTGACCGTTTCCCTATGTAAGCTTAATGGTTTGCTGTCGATGGTTAGGTACACCACGTTGTTGCTTTATACTGTCACTTTCAAATGGAACACTGTGATTCCTGCTTTTAACGTCCTCTTCCTGCTGCAAACCCCCCAAAATCGAGATTTGGATTTTCTGTTTGACTTCCTTTTTTAGGGATGTGAAGATGGAATAATACATGCTGTGCTTCACACTCAGTTAAAAAACAAACAAACAAAAAAATAGCCTAACCGTTGTGTTTTGTTTTTCATTATTTTAATATACGTGTATGGATGTATGTATATATGTGAGGTACAGTGGGTACGGAAAGTATTCAGACCCCCTTAAATTTTTCACTCTTTGTTATATTGCAGCCATTTGCTAAAATCATTTAAGTTAATTTTTTTTCCTCATTAATGTACACACAGCACCCCATATTGACAGAAAAACACAGAATTGTTGACATTTTTGCAAATTTATTAAAAAAGAAAAACTGAAAAATGCTCAGTATTTAGTAGAAGCACCCTTTTGATCTAATACAGCCATGAGTCTTTTTGATGCAACAAGTTTTTCACACCTGGAATTGGGGATCCTCTGCCATTCCTCCTTGCAAAATTTAAGGGGGTCTGAATACTTTCCGTACCCACTGTATGCACGCATTCACATATGTGTATTTTAGGATTATACTGATGCCTGGTTTTGCATGTAGATTGCAGTTTTTGTTTGTTTGTTTAAATGTTAATCCATCCCCTTATTTCATTTTTTGGGACCATGTATTATACTGTATGATGTGGGCGGGACCGTTAGACCTCATTCTACATTGATATTATATATAAATATATGAAAAACTGCATTTTCCCTATGGAGAAAGTTTAAGTTATATATCGCCTGTACATTTTGGGCTGCATTAAGATCAAATTGTCCACCATGTTTAACTGAAATAGTAATAAAACTTATTAAAATATGCTAGATTACTACAAAAAAACAAAACATATTGACGATTCATAATAAATCTTATGACATTTACTAGTCAAGTTGTATTGTTCTTATTTCTTGTGTATCACAACAGTCATATTTACATTAAATCTAAAATTAATTACAGTATTTATGTAGATGTATTCCATACCTTTTCAGATAGGACACATTCCTTCAAACACCTACATTCACAAGATGCATACATTTTACTGTTAATATTATATTCACTGCAATTTCCTGCAGCTTAAACCTTTGACATTTCAAGCCATATTTCTATCGTATACACGTTTAAATTAATTGATTAGTCTGTCTTAATGTCCGTGATGCATCTGCTCCTGAATCCTTTCCAGAACTTCCTGCATTCGGCGCAACTGCAGAAGGAAAGAGTAAAAAAATAAAAAATACACAATTACAATATTAGGAGAGACTTAAACATTGGCTGTATTGAAATATGCTTGCATACTAATCCCTACTATTGTTGCAGCATACATACTGTACACAGTATGCAAATCAGACTGAAGACTCAACAAAACTCAAATTTAAAATACAAATTAATCATTTTTATTTAATTGGATCACACCGTCAAAAATGCATTTTCATACAAAAATTAACTGAAAATGCAAAATAAATGTAATAATGCAAAATTATTTTCTAAATTCATAACTGGACGCCACTTAACGTGATGAGGACTGAATTTGAAATGGCATACTAGCATTCCACTCTTACAGAGTGACGCAAATGACTTGCAGGGGGAAAACTACATTTTCGTTCCCACATTGTACAATTTTCCCCCTTGTCTCAGTTAAATTAAAACAAGGGAATGTGTTACTACAACATTGCCAACGATTAAACAAGAGAATGAATAAACAAAATGAATTTACAATTTGTTCTTTTTTTTGTGTGTCATGTCGTGTGGGGCACCGTACATTCTACTTCTGCCATATTTTAATATGGCAGATATAGTAAGAGTAGTATTTTAATATGCTATTCTGAAGCCCAGGTCATTTGACAACAATGTGGTAAATACCTATACTTTCACTTAATATATATATATATATATAAAAAAAAAAAAAATAGTAGTTAGTACATTGCGGATGGTAAGTTAGTACCATTCCAAACGTGCACTGAATCCATTCTGAAGAGAATGAAGACATTATATGGTCTAATTAAAATTAGCTAGATAAAAAAATAAAAGAAAACTGTATTACCTCTTCATCTTTCTCCCAAATAAGGCGCTCAGTCTCACTGTCCACAGGCATCAGAGGCACAGGAAGGTCTGAGGCGCTGTCTCTTAGCCGGTTACACAGACTGGATGAATACAACCAATGAAACAGTAACATAAACCACACAGGAAGGTCAGTGATGGCATGATGATCAAGAATAAGCACACCATTAATTTGCACTGCAGAATATAGTCTGATGATGTCAGTTTATCCTCTGACCTGCGTTTCCTCTCCTTGACCACCATGCGGGTCATATTCTGGATGCACTGAGCGCGGTAATTCTCGTAATGCGTTTCCCGTGTCACATCCTTCAGGTCTTGCATGTGCGTGCGCACCAACATGTTCCTCAGCTTCAGGAAGTCGGAGTGAACAGGGTTCTCCACTGCAAGAGTAGAGTCAACTTACATTTTTTTTTTATAGTGCTTTACACAATACACATCGTTTCAAAGCAAATTTACAGAAAATCCAAAATTTCATAATGGCAACAATTCAAGCAATCAAGCAGTTGAGATATGCTATATTGTATATAGCATATCACCCTACGTGAGTGTATACTGAATGTATGCTAATAAAGTTGGACATATTTTTATATGCAATTGTATATAGGGCTAGGCGATAATAGTTACATTTTGCGATAAAAAAACTCAAGCAGCTGAGATTTACTATACTGTATATATCACTTTACATGAATGTACTGTACAGTAGTGATGGGCACTTTCGAAATACTGCTTCATGAAGCTTCGAAACCTTTATGAATCTTTTGTTTTGAATCATTGGTTTTGAGCATAGATTGTAAAAAATATGGACGACGCACATTCACTCTCTTCCACTGAAGAAAAGTGAAGCTGCCAGTGTCCCAGTGCTGATTTACTGATTTGGGACCAGAGTCTATGCAGTAGTGAACTCGGAACCAGAGTCTGCGCAGTAGTGAACAAAGTGGAGCCGAGGTATCAAGGTCCCGCCCACACTCCCACAGAGTCGATCGCAAGCACACGCCCCTCGACCTTTTTTTAAGTAGCTGGACTTCTCCAATTTTGATGTCTGCTGATTGCAGTAAATGTAGAAATTAAAATTATAGCTCCGTTCTCCTCCTGAAGATCCTCCTGGAGCTTCAGTTCGCTTAGAGAAGCTATCAATCATGACGTCACACTCCCGTTTTTATAGCATCAAATAACTAACTAAAACCAAACTTATTTAAAAAACTAACTTGAGCTTATCAGTGTGATAAAAGCTACATAAAATGACAAAAATATTTTTGGAAAAAAATTATTTGAAATACAGAGTTCTGGCATGAAACTCTAGATGGCGCAGTCCAATAGATCCAACTCAATCTGACCTAATGACATAGTTATCACACGGCACAGCTGATTGGTTCTCTCCCGTATCGGTAGCCAATGAGCTCGCTGCTCAACATTCAAATATATGACTAGTGCTTGCCGTAGCAGTGCAGCTAGACTCAGAAACCCTCCACCTTCCCCAGCTCCACCTGTATAGATCTGCTACGAGGTGATTCATGTATGCTATATGGGGGTTATTTCATGTACGTTATATTTGCAGCAGCAATATTTCTTACATGCTCACAGTAGCATGTTGTGGATGTATTGGCAGTAGCAAGTCTCGGTACTTGCTCTGCCGCAGCAGCGTAGCAGATCTATTCCGCCAAGACCAAATACATTAACATTGTCATGTACATTACCATGCCAATCCCTCCGAGAGTTGTCATGACAGAAGTGTATTTGAATTGTTTAGTTTGTCTCTCTCACGTTCCATTAGATTACATGGAGAGGGTGGGGTTTATGACCTCTATTGGGTCCACCCACCTGGGGCGATCGAAACTTTTTGGACTTCACTTTTCAGGACTTGTGCGACACACTTGGTTTGGAGTGCATATCATACTGCCAAAGTCATGTGATTTCAGTAAACGAGGCTGTTTCGAAACAAAAAAGTTTCGACATTTCAATGGTTCACCACTGGGGGTGAGCTCTGTGAACCCATGAATCATGCGAGATCACTGAGATCGCCTCTCAGTAGCGAACCATTGAATGAGTGTCTATATTTTACCTGATTTCATTTCAGTTTTATGAATTTGTAGAAATTTTAAGAGGCATTTGTATAATTTAAAGGAGTTATAGTAGTTAATAGTCTCTTATAGGCCCGTATAGATGAGCCATCCATAGAACAAACAAAAACAAGCCCTGAAAATTGATAAAAGAACATACAGACACTTAATATTTCATGGTAATTTAATGGATGGTTAGTTAATTTGCTGTTTGCTGCTTTTATGCATGTTTGGAGTTTTTGTTGCATTTACACAGTTTTGACCAGCAGGCATCACCAGCGTGTGGTGTTTCAAACACTTCGAAATAGTGAATCATTTTGCGAAGCAATTGGTTCATTTGATTCAAAGCTTTGTTTCTCCCATCATCACTACTGTACAGTATGTATGCTGATAAAATGGGATGTAGCTAAATATGGAACTTTATTTCCAACTCTCTATGTATCCAACGATAATTAAGTTACATTTTTGTTGCAAATAAAAAAGCATGACTGTAATGCACGTATGCAGATAAAGTAAAAAAAAAAAAAAAAAGATAATACAGTTCACATTTTGCAATGACAATCATGGAGCCGAGATTTGCTATATAATATACTGTATAGTGCTTTACATGTGCATACTGTA